AGACAAAGAAGTAAAAGCAGCAAGTGAATATATGAAAAAATGTTCAACATCACTAGTCATTGGAGAGATGCAAATGAAAACAACACTGAGATTCCACCTCACCCCAGAAAGTATGGCTGCTATCATGAAATCAACCAATAACAAATGCTGGAAGGGCTGTGGGGAAAGAGGAACCCTGCTCCACTGCTGGTGGGAGTGCAGACTGGAGCAACCACTGTGGAAATCAATATGGAGATACCTCAAAGAACTAGTATTGGAAGTCCCATTTCACCCAGCTATTCCCCTACTGCATATCTTCCATAAAGAATTAAAAGAATCATACCACAATGATATATGTACACTCATTCATAGCAGCACAATTTGTAGTAGCTAAAACTTGGAAGCAGACCAATTGCTCATCAACAGGAGACTGGATAAAGAAAATGTGTTTTTTTATGAAATGGAATACTCAGCCATTAAAAATTAGAGACATTTATAGCTAAATGGATGCAAATTTAGTCAATATTCCTAAGTAATATAAATAGAACACACATGTAAATACTAAATAATTTCTCTAGTGTGAGAAATTCAAAGTGTAAATAAGGACTAAAAGGTATGACAGATAATGTGAAAGAGGAAGAAAAGGGGCAAAGGGGAAGGTGAAATGGGAGGGGTGGGGGAAAGGAAGGAATGGATGAAATTACTATGAGAAAATGAAAAATAACGGAAACAAAGTCTTTGTAGATAGGGAGGGTGAGAGGAGTTAAATGGAGGTCAGGGGAATGGTGAAAAAAATAAAGGTACAAATTTCCAATAATGAATGTGATTATACTGTGTATATTAAATGTACCATAAAAGTAATTTTTTAAACGTTGGAAAAAAAATAAAAATCTTCTGCACAGCAAGAGAAATAACCAACAGTGTCAAGAGACAACCCACAATGTCGGAAAAATTTGTCACCAGCTGTTCCTTAGATGAGGTCTACTGTCTGGAATATATAAAGAACTTTAAAATGGGACCTCCCAAATTAAAGACCCAATCCAAAAATGGGCATCTTAGATGAACAGACATTTCTCAGACAAAGAAGTAGAAATAGAAAATAAATATATGAAAAAAATGTTCAACATCACTGGTCATTCAAGAGATGCAAATGGAAACAATGCTGAGATTCCACCTCACGCCAAGAAAAATGGCTGCTATCAAGATATCAGCCAATAACAAATGCTGGCTGGGTTGTGGGGAGAAAGGAACTGCTTCTCCACTGTCCGTGGGAGTGTAGACTGGTGTAGCCATGGTGGAAATCAGTATTGAGATTCCTCAAATAACTTGGATTGACCCAGCTATTACCCTACTGGGAATCTTCCCCCCAAAAATTAAAAGCATCTTACCACAGCGATATATGTACACCCATGTTTATAGGAGCATAGTTTGTAAAAGGTAAATCTTGGAAACAACCCAAATGCCCATCAACTGGTGACTGAATAAAGAAAATGTGTTGTTTTTATAAAATGGAGTACTACTCAGCCACAAAACTGATAAACTAAAGATGCTAAATGGATGCACATTGAAGCCATAATCCTAAGTAAAACAAAATAGAATACACGTGTAAATACTGAATAGTTTCTCTGGTGTAAGAAACTGAAAGTGTAAATGAGGGCCAAAATGTATACTGGATAATGCAAAAGAGGAAGAAACGGTCCAAAGAGGAAAGGGAAGTTGGGTGAGGATAAGGGAAAGGAAAGAATGGAAAGAAAAAAGAATAGAAGAAAAAACAGAAACAAAGTTTTTTGTAAATTAGGGAGGGATGGAGGGATTGAGAATTGGAAGGGAAATAGTAAAAAAGAAGAACTAAGATATAGCATGTACAAGTACAAATTCCCTATGATGAATGCGATCATAATGTATACCTAAAATGTACCAATAAACTTAATTAAAAAAAGAAGGTTGGTTACCAAGATGAGCCACACATGCAACTAGAAGAGATATCCATTCCAAGAGATGCACAAATCTCAGTATGGAAACAAAATTATGAAAAACAAGTCAATGCAACGTGTCTCCCACAAAGATTCATAACTTGTCAGTAACTGAATGGACAGATACAATGAAATACCAAAGAATTCAGAAGAAAAATGATACTGACTTAAAAAAGAATACAAGCAAACTCCTGAATGAATGATAAAAGACACTGTAGATACGAAGAAGCAACTCAACAAAGAAATAGAAACCCAACAAAATATATAAATAAACAGAAGTCTTGGAAATGAAAATCTCACTAAGTCAAATCAAAACTCAGTAGAAAACCTTGCCAGTAGACTAGATCGAGCAGAAAATTGAATTTCAAGGCATAAAACTAAGGTTTATGAATTATCATATTCAGACTAAAGAAAGAATTTTAAACAGAACTATAAGAACACTGGGGCATGGCTAAAAGACCAAACTGATGAAATTTTGGTGAAGAGGGCACCAATGTTCAGAATAAGGGTATAAAAATGTATTCAGTGAATAATGACAGGAAACTTATGAAATCTTAGGAAAGATATTGATATATAAATGCAAGAGGCAGTTACAACTCCAAAAGGGCATGACCAGAAAAGAACCGTGCACATCACTTTATAGTTAAAATGTCAAGGGTAAGGAAAGAATTTTTTGTTTTATTTTGATAGCTATAAGAGAGAAACAGAAAGACAATTTTAAGTGTGAACCCAAAGAATAACTAAGATTTCTCTGCAAGTCCTCAAAAGGCCTGCAGAACAAAGAACAATGCACCAAAGCTCTAAAAACAAAACAAACAAAAAACTGCAAACCTAGGATTACATATACAGAAAAGCTATCCTTCAAAATTGAGGAAAAAATAAAGATAAGCATAAACTGAAGAAATAATTTTGTTTATTCACAATAGATTTGAATATACCTAAACAAGAAAGTGAAAGAACTATATAATAATTTTGGAATACTGAAGAAGGAACTCAGAAGACACCAGAACATGAAGATCTCCCATAATCATGATCATTAGAATTACTATTGTTAAAACGACTACTTTACCAAAAGCAATCTGCAGGTTCAATACAATCTCCATTAAAATTCAATAACATTTTTCAAAGAACTGGATAAAACAATTCTAAAATTCATATAGAAACACAAAATACCCAGAATAGTCACAGGAATGTTAAACAAAAAAAGCAAGGCTGAAGCATCAGAAAATCCAATTTCAAATTATACTACAAAGTGATAATAACAAAATCAGCATAATTCTGGCGCAGTGACACACAGACTAATCAAAAGAGTAGAGGACAAATAAATGAACACACACAGGACAGCCATCTTGACATAGAGGCCAAAACGCATTCGAGAAATGACAGCTACTTTAACAGATGGTGCTGCAAAAACGGATGTCCTCCTGTAAAAGGCTGAAACTAGATCCTTATCTTTCATCCTGTAGAAAAATCAATTCAAGTGGATCAAAGACCTAGGACTAAGACTTGAAATTTCAAAAGTGCTAAAGAAAACAAGAAAATACTTGAGGCCATAGGCACAGGCAAAGTCTCCCTTGATAAAATCCCAATAGCACAAGAAATAATAGCAAGCATCAAGAGATGATACTACAGCAAATTTAAAAGTTTCTGCACAACAAGGGAAACAACCAAAAAAGTGAAGAGAGCCTACTGAATGGGAGAAAACCTTTGCCAACTATTCTTCCTACAAAAGCTTATTATCTTCTAGAATATGTAAAGAAATAAAAAAATCCTTAATACCAAAAACATCAAATAGCTCATTTAATAAACAGTTAATGAATTGAACATTTATCAAAAGAAGAAAAACCAATGTCCAATAATTATGTGAGAAAATGTTCAGCATCCTCAGCCATCAGGAAAATGCAATCAGCACCACACTGAAATTCCATCTCACCACAGCCAGAATGACCATCATGGAGGGTACCAAAAACAAAAACAAAACAAACCTAAACAATAAATACAAGAATGCACAAATATTATGGAGTGTAAATTAGTACAGTCACTGTGCAAATCAATATGGCGGTTCCTCAAAATTAAAAATAGAACCACTATATGACCCAGCTTTGGCATGTACCTAATAGAATTAAAAGTCAGTATACTGTAAGGATACCCACATAACCCATGTTTATTAAGGAACAATTTATAATAGCTAAGATGTGGAACCAACTTACTAGGAGAGGTGAGGGATATATTAATTCATGTGACTTCAGTAGTCATTCCACAATGTATATGAATCGCAATACATGATCTTATCTGTAAATTGTACTGAGTAAAAAAGTATATATCAACAATAGCAAAAAAAAAAAAAAAAGAATTCCGAGAAAAAATGTCTTTGCTTTATTTTTGCCTTTTTCAGTTTGTCAGAAGTGAATAGGTGATACCCATCATATATCATTTTCACAAACAGAAAGGCTATAACTACTAATAGTATATGCTGTACCTTTGTCTGAGGTACTAACTGAGGAACAGTGATAAATTTAGAAATTACTATAATTAATTCACAATATGTAAGATTCTACAAGTATCTTATTTCCTCATTTTATTCTTATATCATCTTTATAATAAGGTAGTAGGCACAACTATGTTCATTTAAAGATGAGATAAATCTAACCAATAGAAATTTTTCTAAAGTTACACAAATTTTTTTATATTTGAAACTGCCCTCTAACTTTGACCTAACGTTCTTTTGAAAGTAATTTCCCACATCAAAGTACATAATCTAAAACAAAAATAAAAAATTCTTACTACCAATAAAAATATCACTTTTATAAAGTGTTACTACATTTGTAAAGATACTTAATAAGTGCTTTTATAACATGAATCCTAAGATAAATTCCTTTGCTAATGTATGTATTACATTGACTGTCTTTAACAGAATACCACATTATATACTATTCTTACATTTAAAATTATGAATGTATGTTTAGTAGTTAACTTGATCCATTTATACCTATACTATATTGAAATAAAAATAAACATAACCAATAGATAAATCATTTAAAAACTTACATAGATTCTGGATTCATTATACAGATGGCTTCTGAACACTGACATTTTGTTGGATCATCATATCCTATTCCTAGACTGAGTCCCAGCATCTGAACGAAAATAACTGAAAATGCTTCCAAAGTTATGTCCTTGGAATACTACATCAAGGGAAATTCAAAAGAAAGTCATTTCACTGGATAGTAGTGAAAATAACATTTTTCATTATGAATTTTTTTATCTTATTGAGTTCATTGGTACTTTTAAAGTGTATAGTACAGTTCCATTCATCACTGGGATCTTGTACCTCTACATAACAGGTCTTGGTTCTCATTTTTCCCCATTTCCCTGCCCCCACTTCACCCCCTCCACCCTCTCCTATTGACAAACACTTTGTTTCCATTTTTTCTTTTTCTCCTATTTTTTCTTGTCCCTTATTTCCTTTCAGCAATCCTTCAAATATTTTTGTTTTTTAATCAACTTCCTAAGGATAGAGAGATATGGTTCCTTGAGCAAGTGAGAAGCTGAAGTTCTACATATAACATTTTATTGAGATATAAAAATATTGTTCAGTGTCAGGCTTTGTCATTAATCTAAAATTGAACACCTGAGAGGATACTTGGGTAGATCTGTAACTATATAAAAGAGTAAAAGGGCTAATTTGATGAAGAAATTTTTATCAAACCATAATCTAATGACTATATGGACCATAATCTTCAACATACTCAATTTCTTAAATAACTCTGATATTCATTCAGCAGTTTATAGGATCTCCTCCCAGCTCATGAAATGATCACATAACCAAATTATCTGATACAAGTATATTGTCTGCATCCTCCTAGGACCACTCTGACACATTTGATAGGGAAAACTTTTATAAATAACTAAAACCTATGAAGTGTCATAATATAGAATAGCTTCTGCTGTCCCTAACTATAGTCTATTTAGCTAACAAGACACCAGAGGCACTAATTACTGGATGAGGCATTTGGTCTTACCCTGAGATAATAGGGCACATCAAAGTCTTGGGCTCTGGAGAGACTGAAGCCACCTGATTATAAAAGTGTCAAGATGAAAAGGACCATTGCCAACATTTGCTCCCCTGACCCTGAACACCCCCCTTTCCTATGAACTAGAATAGATAACTAGGAGAATCTTAAAGGTAAACTCCCCAACTGCAAAGAACTGTTACATCTGGGTTGAAAAGATTAACTATTTTGTGACCATGATTTAAACTGTGAGAATGAAATGTAACCACCCAAATAAAGTCAAGGCTGTGAAACTCTATAAAGTCAATCCAGGCATTGCTTATGTGTAATCGACCCTTATTGATAAGTAAATTTGTTATTTTACTTCCATTCTGCTGCCTCACTGTGTGTCACTTACTGATTCCTTCTGTAACACAGTGACTAATATCAGAACCAATGAAAATAGACTCTCTTGATGGCATTCTTGGATTACATTGATCACATACTGAAGCAGTACATAGATTTTTTTTTTTTTTGCCAAGGAAAAATATAACACTGGTAATTTACTGTATGCACTGACATCATTTCTCAAATCACCACCAATGTGGGTATTGAATAAGGGGCAGGATGAGGTGGGAACTAAGTTTTCAGGAAGATCAGGCATTTAATTGCTAATGTGTCCATAGTGATAATAAATGTTTTGCAGTCAATTTGCAAAAAGGCAAGCCTAAGGAGTCCACATGGTCTATAGGATCTTGTTTCAAGATAATCTTAATAACAAATTGAGAGGAATCGCAGATCTTCCCTATTATTACCCAAATTCCAAAGTTATGGCTAGAAAGTAAGTACTAGCTAAATCCCCACATTGGGCTCCTAACAAATGGAGCGAAAGTTATTATGATAGAGAGGGTCATGGGAAGGCCCAGGAACTGCTCCAAACATGCTGAGTCAAAAGTAATATGGCATCCCTGGAGAAGTACGTAGCCTACTGCCACCATCAAAGTTTGAAACTCTAGAATTATCAATATGTATGCCATCATCATTTAACTTGCTTGTCTGGTGTAAAAGCTAAATGAAAGATGAAGAGTGAATAAAAATTACTGCAAACTTAATTTTGTGGTGATAGCAATCACATTGAAGATTCCCAGTATTACATAACTTGAGTTGGGTAAATCAACATAGCCTCCAGCAAAGGGTATGCAACAACTGGCCTAGCAATCTCCCCTCTTTTTTTATTCGTTATATGCAAAAACAAAAAGCATCTTGCATTCATCCTAGAAGTAGTCATAAAGGATCAATAAGTATACAGCATTGCTATATCTTGCCTTATGGCTATGCCAACTCTCCTTTCCTTCTCTCCGTGATAATACAATCCTGAGGAAACGTGATTGTCAACATAGCCCACATCTGTTAATCCCAATGAGATGGTAATAGTATGTTTTCCTAGATCTACTGCACAAGAAGTAGCAAATATCACAAGTGTTTTAATAAAGTACAAGCATGCTAGAGAGTAGGAGATGAATATAGCACTTCACATTCCTAGGAGGGCAGTGATCTGGGACATTATCAAGACATTCCTTCTGAAGTTGGACACAACTGTATGTGCCTTGTATAGGTCACTGTAACAAAAATGGGAAGTCTAGGCTTGGTAGCCTTATTTGCATATTAGAGGCAACATATGACACGTTTGGACATGTCTGCTCTATTAATGCTCTGCTCTATTAATGTGCCAAGTACTCCATAAAAAACCCTGACTTGACACTTGGCCCAGTAAAGGTTAAATGTAACCATGAGTCACTGTGTGACTTTAACCACAATATCTCACCCTGGGGTAGATGTTGTCTCTTCCACAAAGCATAAAGATGGATGCTCACAGCAATATTCTATAGAAAGGTTTAGAAATAACAAATAAACCACATGTAGGAATCTCAAACTCCCAGGGAATCATAAACCCTTTGCTGTCTCTCCCACAACTTCATTCCTTTTATGCACTGAATAGAAAGGAAAAAGCATGGGTCATTCTACAAGTGGGCCAGCAGGAAGTGGGTATGTGAGCCTTGGTCAACTGAGAAGGTGGAAACTGAGCATGCTGAGGCACGCCTTACTTGGAAGGCTGAGGTAAAAATGTGGTGAACTTGAGGCCAAACTGGGTAATACAGTGAGACTCCCATAGCAAAAAGGAAAAGGGGAGAGGGGCAAGCAGACAATTCCTCTGTTGTTCATGTTCTTTAAAAGCAGGACTAGCCTGAGGATTCATGGACAGTCAAAAAGAACGGACTGACTGGCCATGTCTCAGGATGATTTCTTGGTAACAAGGAAGTCTAGGGGAATCACATGGAGTTCTGAGAATGAAGATAGACTGAAAATGCTCATGTTCTATTGCATCATACTCGCCTAGAGGAAACTCAAACCCACGTCATCAAGATCACTTGGCTGCATTTCAGTCATACTTGTTCCTTCCAGACGCCTCCGTCTTTCCTCAAAAGGCCAGTGTACACAAATGTCTCATGCCTGCAGAGATGAAGGCCTCGCATGCCTTTGTACACAAATAAGCTCTCCACCAGCCATTAAGAAAGGGCAGTAATGAGCCCCCACTGTGGCATTACTTGGATCAGCCAGTAGTGCTGGGGATAAGCTTATTACACCAGATCATTCTGTTACTGAAAGAGCAATGATTGGTCCTCACATGCTCTGGGCACGGATTTTCCTTGACAGCCTGCATCGTTTCTACCAGCACCACACTCTCATAACCACAGACTGTTTTCTACATCACCACACAATATCAATACAGACTGAGGTCACATTTTGTGATATAATTTTCAAAGAAGTAGGTTCAATACCCACACACAAGATTTACTAATCATATCTCACAATCCAGGAGCACCTGGCTTAATAGAGTGGAACAATAGCTGGCTAAAGTCTCACTTGTGGCACCAGCTAAAAGGTAGTATATCTTGAGAGGTGAGAATGGTGTCAACAGTGATTTAAAATATCCCACAAGAGCAGCCAGAACTCAGTGTCATGTCCCCCATATCCAGTAGGCATTAATCTGAAAATAGAGGAGGAAGAGATGACGAGAGTGGTGCTTTTCACTATAAAATCAAAGAAACTATGGATGGTGTTTTTATTTTCTGTTTGGGGAACATGGAATTCAGTGTACAATACTTAGGTACCAGTACCTATGGGCAGAATGATTTCAGAAGGAAGAATAATCTCAGTCCCATTGAATTAGGTTAGTTTTCATGAACATTTTAGCCTTTAACTAAAGCTACAACTATCAGGTGAACCTTTCCAAATTATTTTTCACTCTTTATTATATTAACCTCTGTTCTCCTATACACTTCTTTATGCCAAGAACTTTACAAACTGACATGTATGCACACAGTCTCATCCCTATAGTAATTATTACCCTTCTCTATTCTCTTTACCAGAAACTATTATTGTAATGGTTTACCTGTCTTTTAAGGTATGTCAAATATATGTTAAATACTGGGGGTGGATTGTTTCTTTCACTAACTATTATGATTCTGAGGCTCGTCTGTATGTTTGTGCGCACCAGTACTTTACACAGTTTTATTACTGGTAAACTACTGCATTACCTAAAGATAGCACACTACTTATTTACGGCTCTTGATGGACATTTTAGGCATTCCTAATTTCATCCTGTTAGAAACAATATTCCAATCAAATCCTACCGGTAAGGATTGCCCAGCCACCCTCCAGCTCACCAGGCCTTCATCAGAGTAGACTGGTGAGGACTGCCCAGCCATCTGCAGCAACCCCCAAGCCATGTTCTCAGGCCTCATGGTTGTGATGCTACCTGGATCCACACTGCAGAGGCACTGGTGGTCAGGTCATAAAGGCCATTGTACCGAGCTCCAGAAGATAGAACAGGCGAATAACTGTGATAAACACACACCAGACCTCTGTAGTTGGTAAGCTGGAAGAATCACCACCGTCATCAGAACCTGGGACTATCTTCAGGGGAGGGGCAACTAAACCTGCAGCAGAACCTTGCAGAGTTCAACCCTGCAGGAGGTCAGGGAGCTCAACTTGGGCCTTGCAGCCAGAATTCAGCCTGAATCTGGGTCTGTCATTGACTAGTTGAGACTAATTGACTTAGTTCTGTTGTGGCAGCAGAGATATACCCTGAAAGAGGCTCTTCAATGTTTTTCTTCCATTTCCTCTCATTTTTAATTTTTAATTTTAATTTTTAAAATTTTATTTTTTCCATTCTTCAAATTCTTTATTTCTGTCTTCTTTTTCCCACTCAATCTCTTGCTCCCCCGTGTTTTGCTTCATCTCCCTTTATGTTCCAGTTCCTGCCCTAATTTGGATTACTTCTTTCTTTTTCTTTTCTTCTCTCTTTTTCTTTGCCGGATTGTCATTAGTTTCAAAGGAAAGTGAGTACACTTTATAGCTTCCCTATTACTGTTAAGTTGTTCTATGCTTGTCTGTGTTCTTGCACTCTGTCTTTCCCTGTTTTCTTCAACAGTTTCCTAGAGTTTGCATGATCATCCTGTGTCCTCTGGCTTCACTTGAAACCTTCTATTCTTTTACTTATCTATTCCTCTTCCCCAAACTCATTCTAAGTCCCCATTCTGAAGGGTAAATTTGCTATACTGAAGAGTTTATTCACTATAAATACATTTTGGGCTGGTCCTTGAATTTGATTTAATTCACGAGGTTAAAAGTCATAGATTAATAACTACCACAAATTGTCAATTTCTAATCTGTGCTTGATGCTATTGTGTTGCTGATTGTATCAATTGGGCGAAAGAATTGTGATTGATTTAATGAGTTGTCATTCCTGATATGAAAATGAGAGTGTCACTGAATCATTAGAGGCACAAAACCTAAAAAGCAGCTATCAGGAATATCAAACTACTAACCCAGGAATTAAACCAAAGGCAACACCAATAACAAAAATAAAAATGAGAAAACACTTAAGCAAGGAACAAATGCAGACTTCCAGTTCACCTGTGGCAAATTCTAAGGGAAACAAGGTGGAAGTGTCTGACAATCAACCACCAAGTCACCCTGAACTCATAGCAAAGGAAGTAACAAAACAGATCAATCGGGCTTTACAAAAATTTCAAAAGAGAAATAATTTCTCAGATAACTACAGAGGTGGCGAGCACAATGAAAGACGTGATTAGAAACTCTAGAACAGAAACAGGAAAAAAAAAAAAAAGATGAGCTCAGGACTATGATAGAAGCCACGAATGCCCAACATAGGAAAGAAATGGAATCCATGGAACAGATTCAAACAGATATCCAGGAGATTAAAAAAAAAAAAAAAAAAAAAGACAATGAAGGTCACAACAGAGCAAACCAATTAGGCAAGGCAAGAAACTAAATGGAAACAGAGAAAATTTTAACAGAGCCTACAACAGAACAATAACATAATGATAAATTAATAAATATCAGTTATAACCATCAATGTTAATAGCCTCAATTCACCAATTAAAATTAATAGACTGGAAGAATGAATTAAGAAGCAAAAATCCAACATGTGCTGTATACAAGAAACACACCTAGTTCAAAAAGAAACTCACAGACTGAAAGTAAAAGGATAGAAAAAAGTTCTTCATGTAACAGGAGCCCAGAAAAAAGCAGAAGTATCTATCTTATTTATACACAGAGTAAATTTCCAACCAAAACTGATAAAGGGAGACAAAGAAGGCCACTACATCCTTGTATAGAACACAACTGAATAGGGCAATATGACAATCATAAATATATATGCACCAAATACCAGTGTGAAAAAAAATAAGCACTAATACAATTTTAATAGGAACGTCAATACACCACAATTACAGACAGATCATCTAGGCAAAAAATCAACAATGAAATACTAAAACTGAACCAAGCTTTTGAACGCATGGACTTATTAGAGGTCTATAGAGTGCTCCACCCCACAAAATCAGAATATACATTCTTTTCATCTGCACGTGGGTCATTCTCCAAAATAGACCTTGCATTGCAAATGTTTTTGTCTCTCTATGGTTTATCTCTTCACTTTCTTCATATATTTTCATAAGCAGAATTGCCTAAGTTTAATGCGGTCCAGTTTTAGACAACTTTTCTCATATGATTAGTAATTTTTGTGTTCACTTTAAGAAACCTTTCCCTTCCTTTATAGACAAGAAACTGTGTTGGTTTTTTAGCTTTCAGAACATCTTTCTTTGACTTTAACGTGTAGATCAACTGTCTACCTAGATAACACATTTTGTCTAATTCCAGTTTACAGGAAAATTTTGTCAGAAAGACTACAAAGTCATCACTGGGGGAAAAAGAAGTACTACAAGCTATGTTCTTATATTTACATAATTAATTTGACATGGTTAATATGAATTGCTGTGCAATTTCAAAAACATATAGTACTTTAAGTTACTATTTTTAAAGTATTAGTTTGGTGGAAAATGGTTCAAGGAGTTACACAACCTTCAATGATCCATTAATTTTAGCATTAACTTTATATATAACAGTTATAAGTACTATTAATATTTAAAATACAGTTGACTCAGATATGTTAAATGCATGTAGCACCTTCCAAAATAAACCTCAAAACAAATGTTATCATCACGCAATGTTAATATGTACTAATAAAAAAAATCAGATGTAAACAGTGGCATCATAAAAACTTTCTTTTAATTACTGTTTGAGAAGTCTGAGTATTTTAAAGAATTTTTTTATTTATTTTCAATCTGCAGTTTTTTCACTTTTAGCAGAATTTTGATAGCTTTATGCCTAAAAGCAAAACACTATTTTATTTATAGAAATTTTCTTATAATTTTTCATGATACACTTCTATATTTTGAGAAATGCATGTGTATGGATATTTTTACTCCCATTTTAATTTCCAAAGATAGATGAGTGCACATGACACTTCTATAAAATATTATTCCTTTCACATACTTCAAAATTTAAATAGTAATGGAAAACAAATGCAATTTCTAAATGCAAACAGCATAAAATACATGCTAACAACTTGGGTGATTTTTTAATGTATTAATTTTCTTTAAAAAGAGTTAATAATTACATACCAGTGCAACTCCTGCAGAATAACGGGTAACACACATCTTTCCAGGAAATGTTGCTCCCACATAATCTGGATAATCTCTATAACTAAATAAACAAATAAATATACATTTATAATTAATTTTGACAAACCATCTAAATGTGAGAATTCCTGCTAATTTAAGTCTTTGGTTCATAAAATGCTAATCTAAACAAATGAGGCATGGACTTTCAATATGTCCTTAATTGTTTCAAATTTAGAAGACATTCTTAGTTAATACTCCTGATTTTTTAAGCATATTCAATATATCTAAGCCTTTGAGGGCTTTTCTGCTCTCATTACATTTGGTTAAGGTTACCAAAGCCTTTGTTCAAGCATTTTGATTTTTTTAAAATGTGCTCTTGAAAGACACCAATGAAGTTTTAATGCATGGATAGGAATGTGCCACCTGCATGTAAAAGAATTCAAGTCTCTCATGGGAATGACTTTATTATTTTACAGATAGATATTATTATGTAGCTTTAAGAACCTCTATAAATACTCATATACTCAACATTATAGTCAAAGCTTTACACCAATTATCCCATTTGATTTTCAAAACAAATATTTTGTTATTATTTGATAAAACTGAAATAAATATTTTTCTACACAAAAAATCAAACATCAGCTGGAAAATGTAAGTATCTCATATATGATATATACATGAAGGAAAAGGCTCTTTAAAACTGCTTATTAATATGCACTAGTAAAAATATATCTCAAAAGAGGTGAATCCTGAAGTATATAATATCATATTATATAATGAAGAAAAAAGTTCATGGCGGTGTTTAATTTAAACTATAATTATTATTATTACAAATGCAATAAAATAATCGTTTTTTTAAAAGACAGGAAAGGGAGGCTGAACATGGGTATTCAATATAACAATTATTTCCAGCAGGTAAGATTCTTCTAATTCTGGAAAGATACCCAGCAGGGGAATAGCTGGGTTAAATGAGACCTTTAATCCTAATTTTTTGAAGTATCTCAATACTGATTTCCACAGTGGTTGCACCAGTCTGCACTTCCACCAACAGTGGAAAAGTGTTCCTTTCTCCCCACAGCCCCACCACCATTTGTTATTGGTTAATTTCTTGATAGCAGCCATTCTTTCTGAGGTGGGGTAGAATCTCAGCCTTGTTTCAATTTGCATCTCTCCAATGACCTGCAATGTTAAGCATTTTTTCATATGTTTATTTGCTGTTTCTAGTTCTTTGTCTGAGAAATGCCTATTCATTTCAGATACCCATTTTTGGATTGGGTCTTTAAATCTGAGAGGTCTGATTTTTTTTAAGTTCTTTATATATTCTAGATAGTAAACCTTTGTTTGAGGAACAGCTGGTAAAAATTTTTTTCCCACATTGTGGATTGTCTGTCCATGCTGTGGTTTCTCTTGTTGTGCAGAAGCTTTTCAATAAGAAGAGATCCATCCCACTTGTTAATTCTTTGCTAGTCCATCTGCAACTGAGGTTTTATTCATGCAGTTTTTTCCTACATCAACATCTTCAAGAGTTCTACCTAACCACTCTTCCAGCTGGTTTAGTGTTTCTGTTTTAATATTTAGGTCTTTCATCCACTTCAATTTTAGTTTAGTGCATGGTGACAGATATAGGTCTAGTTTTAATCTTTGGTAAGTTGAAACCCAATTTTTGGAAACACCATTTATTAAAGAGGCTATCTTTCTTCCAGGGAGGATGTTTGTCTCCTTTGTCGAAGATGAGGTGGCTGAGTGTGTCTGAAGTTGTTTCTGCAGCTTTTAATTGGTTCTACTGGCCCTCAGGTCTGTTTCCTTGACAGTACCATGCTGTTTTTATCACAGTACCTTTGTAGTATAGTTTCAAGTTGGGGATTGTGAAGACACAGGGGCAGGATGGGAACTACATGGTAAATATAGGTTTGTCTCAAAGACTTCATTTTTGGAAGTAGGGAGTACATATAGTTATCATTACAAATACGAAGTTTAAAGCAGACAATATATATAGGCTAATAATTAGATATTATTATTATGGTTAATCCAATTTTTGCATCCAAACTTTAAAATTCAGTTACCGCAAAACAGGTAAAATTCGTCTAAATTAACTTAATTTTAATAAGAAATTATGGTTATGAAAAAAACACAAAACATACATAATAAATGTAGACAAGTACTTGGCTGGAAAATGAAAGGTCAATGTTTTAAAAAAGGACAGAACTGTTTCAGAAACAAAGACAAAAATCCTCAACAAGATAACAGCCAACACATTGTAACAAAGTATCATGATAAAGTTGGTTTCAAAAAGTCAAAACTTTTGATCATTAGAGAAATGCAAATTCATTTAACACTGTGATTCCACCTTACTCCACAAAAAACGGCGATCATCGAGGACTCAAAATATAAATGTTCATAAATTTGCAAAGATAAAGAAAGTCTTTTAACATTGTTGGTGGGAATGTAAACTGTTACAACCAGGATGGAAATCAATGGAGATGACTCAGAAACACCAAAAATATTCCATTCACCTAACTAAACCTCTTCTAGATATCTTCCCAAAAGAAGTAAAGACATCATATTACAGAGAGCCACACACCCATGATTATAGCTATCCAAATCATACTAGCTAAAGCATGGAAGTGGCCGACATGCCCATCAACAGTCAAATGAATACAGAGAATTCAGACATATGGGTTATTAGTCAGACAAAAGGATGGATTTGAGTCATTTGTAGAAAAATTGATGCACCTTGAGTCAATAATGCTAAGCGAAATAAATCAGACACAGAAGGCTAAGTATCATTCAGTTTCTCTTTATGGGAAACCGAAATATAAATAATTTAAAGATAAAATAACAGATAGATAATAGGAAACAGACACTGTGGAGATGCAAGGGGATCTGGGGTTGAGAAGAGAAGGGAAGGGGAACAAGGGCATAAAAAAGCATCAAGACGCCATATGTATATGTAAAGTCCTCCGTGATAAATGTATTCATTATGCATTGTAAACATGCGCTAGTAAAGCTTATTTGAAACGTAATTTAGTTTTTATTTTATTGGTACTCTGCAATACGTAACGACTGTCTTCCTCACAGGGAGGGGCAGACGCTCACAGCGCAGCTAAACACTTTCTTCCTCCCCTTCCTCTCCTCTCCCTCCATCTCTTGGTTCCCTTCACTTTTGCAAAAGCTCTGGGTCCTTATTTCCTATTATCTACTTTTTATTGTATTCTTTGTTTATAATTTAGGTTTCTCATGTAAAAGAAAACATGCTGTATCTGAGGTATCCTATTTAACATTATAGCCTCAAAGTGCATCCGGTTTCATACAGATGACCCAAGTCTATCTTTCAATGTTGCAGAATCACACTCTACATTTACACACAAAAAATGTTTTTAAATGGAGGCATTGTAACAATTCTTTCAGTTGTGAGTAGAATAAAAGGAGTTTTATTCTACAAAAGAAAGGCAAATTTTTTTAAAAATCTCAAATGCAGAAAATAAAAAATAGTGAGTTCCAGGTCAGTCTCAACTACATAGTGAGACCCTGTCTCAAACAACCAAAAAGAAAAAACAAACAAACAAACAAACAAAAACAAATGAAGTAGATATGAGTTGAAAATAACTGACAGCTCCTAAAATAAATCCTACACTGATGACAAAATAAAAATCATTTGATAAAATGTAACATTTCTTAATGATTCTAAAAATCTTTTACACCATAAAAAGTAGGAGAAAAGCACCTGGATTTGATTAACGGCTTCTATCCCAGATTTATCACATATATTGTTTTACTTTTTGAATGCAGAAATTTTTTTTTTTATCAAAAAAGACAAAAAGATACTGCAATCACAGTCTGTATCCAGTATAATTTTGGTATCTTTGTAAAGCAATGAAAAGCATAAATAGAAGATACAAATAAATAACACTTATCATAATTTTCAAATAATATGCTTATGCATGCAAAATAAGAAAATCTCAACATATAACTTACTGCAATTTTAAAACATGTATTTATACAACACAAAGAGAAGGTTCTAGTGTGGACTATAGACTGTCTTTAGTTTATAACCATACATCACTATTGTAGCAAAACTACAATACCAAGGCTAACAATAGGTGAACGTGCAAGGGTTAGGAAGAGACAGTGCATGGAAACTCTTCCTACCTACTGTTCATTCACCGGCAAACAAAAACTGCTCAGAAATACAGTCTATTAATTGAAAAACTGAATTTAGTAGTTTTGAAAATGAGTTGAATGTTTATATATCTTCAAAAATATACTAGAACATAAAAAGTATATTCATATTAGCCCAAAAACATGATCTCTGCAGAAAACTACGTAGATTTCCCAAGAGATTTAGACAACGCTTTTTAAAAATCAAGGAATTTATCATAATTATTCATTGGAATGTAACATAATAAGCACACATGGAATACTCAACACTGTAAATACTTCAGTTCATCCAAACCGACATATAGATTCACTTGATACCTCCTGATATTCCCTTTGATACCCCTGACAGTTTGTTTATGGGACAAGTATTTCACAGAAGTGCTTATAAAATTGGTGGAAAAATGGCTATGCACATGTCAGAAAAGAAAATTGCACCAGTTTTTTTATACTATATAGAGTTAACTGAATTAATGCCTGTATCAAAAGTTACAAAGATGAATAATATTAATCACTAAAAGCTAGTAAACTGAATATATAGAACAAAGAGAGACCCTTTCATCATACATAAAATTCAAAAGTGAAAAAGAAAACTCTTAAGAAATGTGTACATATAAAATGCAAATGTTTTCAAGAACAAAAGAAAAAAATCTACAGGTGCAGAAAAATAATTTACCATGAAGATAAACAAAATCTAAAGATTCAATACATACTTACAAAGTAAAAGCAAATAGTCAAATGCCATAAAAAGGCAATTACAGAAGAACAGATGCAAATCATTGAAAGCACATGAAAAGATGCTCAAATCCACTAGTGATCAGAAAAAAGGAAATTAAAATGTTAACATCATTCATTTAGATCCACTGGACTGGCAGAAATGAAGAGTAGTATCGTTTAGTGCTGGCTGATAAGTACAGGAAAGATTAATCTCTCAGTATGCAAAGGGAAATGCCAATGTGCTGCCTTTAACATACATAGATAAATACATAATTACATATAAATATAAAAAACTTTGTGGATTAACCCTAACAAATCTAATAAGAACATGCTTAAAAATATAGAATGATACTTTGTCATTCTAACATTAACATTTAAAAGTAACGCAGAAAAATTTTAGGATAAAATACTTGTAAGTCATCAATTTTTTATTAAACTTATAATCAAAATATAAAGTCAACAATAAAAAGCCCATATTTAGTGGCTTAGTGTTCGGGCTCTGAAATTACTGAGTTCAAACTCTGGATGTGCCATCAGATGCAACCGTCCTGAGATGGCTTAAACTCCTGAAATCTAATGTTTTCATTTGGAAAAGCCTGACAAGCTTAGTAGTCAATATTGGTAGTTTTTTATTGCCTGACAATAAGAAAGAGACCACAAGACTTGAAACAAAACACATAATAAATAAAGTCTGACTCACAGGCATTAATAACATTTCCTGAATTAATCTACATCATGATCACAGATCTGTATTTTCTTTCTAGGAATACTGAAACATTATTCTTACATGAATAGGTATGCAACATCATGAGGCCTTAGGGTAAAATAGGACTGCTTCCATTCTAAAAACTTTTGCAATAATTCGCGTGCCTCACCATCTGTAGAAATCTTATTTTTATCTGACCACATCTCCAATGATGACAACACAACAGTCACTTTAAGTTGTGTAAGCAACTAGAAACAGAAAAAAAAATATATGGGAAATCAATCATTATTTCACTTTATAATAACCTAGAAATTATTTCTGTAGTATTATAAATTTACAGTTTATATTAATTAATTAATTATTCGGAAACACCAGCTCAAGAAAACAAAAAGGATCATTTCAAAACTAAAAAAATCTCATGTGAAAAGGAAAATACTTACTGAATTTATAAGGTTGATCATTTCAATGACTTTGTTTGTTATGGCCATGCTATCAGAGCCCCAGTAATCATACTGAAAAACAGATTTAATTTTACATTTTAAATAGTTTGCCATATAGCATTTTGAGAGTTACTGTTTATCTCCTGGATGATCTGGTATTGAATAGTTCAAAAGTTAAACATTAGCAAATAAAAAGAAATATGAGGTGTATCACTGGTATTCTTAATAGTAATGTAAAATGGGACGATCCCTTTGGGAAATAGTTTGGCAGCTTCTTATTAAAAAGAATACTGGGCACTAAAAAAATACTGGGCATTAAAAAGAATCTTCTGTACACCTGGGCATTTCTCTCAAAGAACAGAAGCTGATGCTTGCACAAACAAGGGCACAAGAACATCCCTAATATGTATTTTTGGCCAAAAATGAATATTCTTTAAGTGATTAAATGGTTTAAAAAGTAGTACATTCAGTCCGTGGAATACTATCCTGCAATAAGGAGAAAATGAACTGCTCACATGTAGATAAAATAAGACTGACTTGGGTTACTTGGCTTTTCGTTTTACACATTTATATATTATGACAGGCCAGCAAGAGGAATGAAATCTTCCCATTGCCCTCGCTCTGTGGAAAATTACACATTTACACGAACTATTGAGAAGCAGTGAGAAAGGAGAACACATACCAAAGCTTTGTCCACCACAATATGCATTTCTAGATAAAGAGGAAACAGGTCTGGAGCATGTGACTCTTCCTGAAACAAACAGCAGAAAAACAACAACAAAAAGGAGCATGTCAAACTTGAAATTTCTCATCATTTATTTATTCTGCACTCTTTGAAAATTGTTTTGTTTTTAATATATAATAAATCCGATCATCATTGAGAGCTGCTACATGCACATAACACATCTTAATTCTTTTTCTGATCCCCTCGCCTCCCCTCTCCCTCCATCTCTTGGTCCCCTTCCCTTTTGCAAAAGATCCATCTCCCTGTTTCTCGTTATTGTTTATTCTGCTCTATAATTTATGTAGATTTGGGTTTCTAAGAGAAATCATGTAGTATTTAAGATTATATGTCTGATTAATTTCACTCAATATTATGGTCTCAAGGTGCATCTATTTTCCTACAAAAGACTGGTTTCTCCCTTTCTGCGGCAGACTATTACGCCACTGTGTATGCAGATCACGTTTCCTTTATTCATTCATCTGTTGGTAGATACACAAGCCTCTTCCATGATGGAGATATTATGAGTTGTGCTGCAAACATGACTATGCGTGGATTGCTAAAGAAGTACAAACTGCCTATAAATGAATGCAAAAATACTTCTCTGGCCACTACAGAGATACAAATTAAAACAACACTGAAATTCCTTCTTACTCCAGAAAGAATGGCTGTCAATAAATCAAACAGTAGTGAATGCTGGCGAGGCTGGAGGGAAAAGGAAACCCTTATACATTGTTGGTGGAGATGTAAACTAGCATGACTAGAGGTATCAGTACAGAGATTTCTCAAAAAATTAAAGCTAGAAATTCCATTTGACCCAGCTATTCTACTTCTAGCTATCGTCCCAAAAGAGTCATTGTGAGCTCTTTATTATGAATTTATAGTAGGGGAAAGAAAAGATGGGAAAGCAAAACAATGAGAAAAGTGAAACACAAAAACAGTCTTTGCAAATAGGGAGGGGTGGAGGGGTTGAAGGGAGGGCAGGGGAGTGCGGAAGAAAATAGGAATCAGGATATATCAGGCAAAGGTACAAGTTCCCCATGAGGAATGTCGTCATACTATATCCCTAAAGTGTACGAATAAACAACGAATATTTTTAAAAACACACTTCAGAGGTTTCAATAAATCTCCGTATTTAGAAATTTGAAAAAAAACAACTTACAGGACATGCTTGGGTGTGTGCTTATCAGTTGATGACCTGCTTTATGTCACAGATGCTAGCAGTAACACTGATTATTGACTCATTTTACATCAGTCCATAGATCTACAGTTTCCAATGTCAACTAGAACAAAACACCTATCATTTTTAATCATGTATTTCATGTGAATATACAAAATTCATGACACTTCTGTTTACAAACTATGTAGGAACTGAATGCTGAAATAGTGGTCACAGTCTTTGCTTTCATTCCTTCCTGTATCCATGTCCTTTGCATGTGACCTTGCAGAACCTCTCACCAAGAGATGGGTCTGTTTCCCGAGTCCGGATCTGGGCTGAGGCCCAGTAACTTGCTCGAGGCAGTAAACGCGGTGTGAGTGCTGCTGTGCCAATCTGACAGTCACCTTGCACACTGCCCCTCTTGCTCTTGGAAAACCTGCTTGTGAACATCTGCCCAGTCTGAGGTAAGAAACAGGTTGACCAATTCATTCTCATTTCCCAGAAAAAATACGGTCAAAAAAAGAAAACTGTCCATTGCCTTAGGGAAAAAGGAGTTGCTATGGTGCATGGGCCTCACCCCACCCTCATCCTACCCCACACAGCCAGCTGGGCACATCCGCGAGGAGGACACTCAAGTCCCTGGCGTGGCTCGCTGGTGTCAGAGACGGAGACTTGAGTATTTTCTGCTGTCTGCTGGCTTCCTGAAGGGTGTGCTCCGTCTTGGAGCTTGCACGGTAGTGTTTGTGAGAAGTATTTATAAGTAAATATGCTACCTGCAACTAAGCAGGAGGTAACAAACAAGCAGCAGGGGTGATGAGAAACCTAGGAAGGAAAGCTGGGGAAGGGTATGTGTGGAGAAGTGAAGGCACACAAAAGCCCTCACATGTGCTGGAAAATCCATAAGGGCACACGTGTGTCTGAGGCCAGACACAAGTTCACAAGTGCCTTTGGGAGACACTAAGCTCTCCCGGCTCACCTGGGCAGTGTAAAGGAGGGCTGCAGACAAAAGCAGAGTTAAAACAGCTTGGGTAAATATTGTAGGTACTTCTATTTTGGAAGAAAGGGCTACTTTGGCTTTCTGTAGGGCTGTGTATTAGTTTAGTTTACTAAGACCACCATTACAAAGTGCTGCAGGACACAGTAGTTTAAAAACAGAAATTTATGGGCCCAGGATTTAGCTCAGTGGCGCCGCCACCTGCCTCACAAGTGCAAGGTCCCGAGTTTGATCCCTGGTAGCAAAACACACACACACACACACACACACACACACACACACACACACATGTGCGTGCACACGCACATGCACACGCACGCAGAGAATACCGAAAGATCCTAATGGTATAATTGACAATGTGAAATGAGTAGAAAAGGGCTAAAGGTGTAGGGAAAGTGGGAAGGGTAGGGGAAAGGAAATCAGGAAAAAGAAAAAGAAGTGAGAAAATGAAAAAATGGAAATGAAGTGTTTGTAAATAGGGGAGAGGGGTCAAGGGAGGGCAGGGATAAGGGGGAAAACTGAGAACCAAGACCTGTCATGTAAAGGTACAAGATCCCAATGATGAATGGAACTGTTCTGTATACCTAAAATGTACCAATACACTCAGTGAGAAAAAAAATAAAAAATAAAAAAACAAGAAGGATTTGCACATCACTCCACTCCGCCAAATTTACATATTTATGCCAATCCTACTTGGTACAAAATTTTTCTCCTTCACAATTACTTTTATAAAGAACAATACATGAAGTTATACAAGGTATGACTGAAGAATTTATATATCTGTACCTGCTAATCCTGTTACAGACATTTTAAATTTATATATAATTTAGTCAATGTTCATTCCTTGGACATGAATATAACCTTTATAAAATATTCACTATATTAACTTCAATTAATACAAAGAGAAAAACAGAAAATGAGTTTTTTAAATTTATACTGATATAATTTATACTGCTATACTGATGCCTAAAATACTTCAGGTAAATTTTAGAATGTCATAAAACTATCCCAAAAGTACAAAACTAAAGTGAGTCATGAGAAGTAAATAATGGAATATTGCAAGAAGGAAAAGGTAATAATAAATGGTTTCCAGAACACTGTTTGATTAATAAATGATTAAGGCAGTCATAAGGAAAGGATATTTCCTAAAATTGCACTGTAGGTTAGTACCCTTACATTTAAAATATATAGAAGCAATAATTGCTTTGCCAAGTAGTAATGAAACATACATAACTCACTTCATTTATAAAAATGCTATAGTCCATTGGCTGTTTTTCTCTGTTTCTGTTACTTGTCTTAAAGGGTCCAAGTTCATTGGTTCCATTCCCTAACTTATAAAGTAGATGCTGAAATTCAGCTGTAGATTCCAGCGGCTCAATTCCATAAGAAACATTTTCAAACTGCAGTATTCCCCTGTAAAATCCAAAATAAAGTCTGAAGTGCTTTTAATGAAATGGTATAAAGCTGACAAAATACAAAAGAAAAAATATAGACTGCTTTTCATACAGTACTTTGTTCCAAGCTGTGTCTTAAGCTCACGCTGAAGAGACGAATCACTTCCTTAATTCGTAAGACCAAAAGCAACACCTAATCAAGTGCCAGGAGCACAGCATTATAGTGATTTCCCTGATTTCCCACTTTGTGTCTGACTAATTCAAACACTAATAAATGGAAATTTTGATGAATTTTTCTCTGATTAGCAATAATTTTGGAAAAAACTATACCACCTTTATAAAATATATAGTACACTTTTATTTATAAAAATAAAATTTAGCAGCAACTATAAAATAAAATGTATTGATTTGGTGTAAGTACACATCTGAATAAGAAATCAACATCAAGAGTCTGCAGTTATAGAAAATTGTGTAATGAGCTTCCTGTGAACATAAGTAACATTTATGTCATTACTATATAAAAAACAACTTTCAGGTCTAAATTTAGGATTCCACGTAAGAAACATTTGTTTGTGAAAAGTGAGGGTCTCTCCAAAATAAAGCAGAGAACTGCCTGACAGAGAAGACACCTCTCTAAGGGGGGAAGAGGAAAAGTTCAATCATTCCAGAAAAGTTCAAGAGCGTGACATTATTTGGAAAAATATGAATGTGATATTAATAATTATTTATTTACATATAACTTTCCACTTCATCTGGAAGATGATTTCCCTGAGAAAATGTAAGGCTGGTTTGATCTTTATTTATTTTCATATCTCCTAACACTGAGATTTAGGATAGATGTAATAAATACTCTTTGCTGAAAAAAATAAGTCATCTGAAGCTTAGCTTGCCAACTGCTGTTACTGTTATATCAGTAGAGGAGAAAAAAATGGGAGGCAGAGCAAGGAGACTAGAAAACGCAAACCTTCAGAGAACCTGGGAATGTCTCCGGTCGGTGAGGAGAGAGAAGGAGCTCAGCAGAGGAAGCAACTGAATCATCTCCATGGGAAACAGGAAACTTACTTACACTTACTTACTAAATAAATTAAATTCACAGCACCTGAAATCATAACCACACTATTCTGTAAACAACAACAGAAAAGAAATCACCTCAGTCCAGAGCAGGTGCGGAGCACGGCAACAGAACGTGGCTGTCCTTGGATGTACCCTTGATAGTAACACTGAGGCTAGGAAAGAGAGAAAGTAAGTTGGTGACTGAGGAACTACGAATTTCCAGATGACTTCCTACCTCCCTACCTGACTGAACTTTCTCAATACGGTTTGCGGGAGACACAATTTACAACAGCATGACTCAGGGGACTCGCAAAGACTTCCACGTCACTGCCACGTGTGCTTCCATTAAATGCCCTCATTAGATCATGATGTGACAGCACTAACCCTATAACCTTATTCCAAAGTGTTATCTTGTTTTTAGATAAGAGTTACTATCCAGCACACAAATCTAGTTCATCAAATAAAAGATAACGATTGTATATCTGGAGTTTTTTTAAGGTCAAAATATGTTGTCTCAAATAGACAAGAACATGACAGCGTGGGAAGGCTGAAAGGCTAGACATGGGACATGGTATGTGAGCCCGATCCCAAGAGTGACTGACTGGCAAGCTGTACTGAAACAGGAAATGTAGGAGTTAAGGATGAATCACTACTGGAGGTAGGGAGGGACTCTGCATCACGACAGGAGCTTCAACTCACCATAAACATACAAATACTCAAAGTGTGTATTCATTAAATGACATAGCATCCAAAACCGTATAGCCAAAAGTGAACATAAAAACAAAATTCAGACTCACATTAAAATTCTGTAAACATGATTTTTCTCAGTAGCTGATAAACATTCAATATCTACAGGTGTGAATCACATGGTTTTGAGCAACTAAATAATATACAGAGAACATAATACCTGAAAACAATAGAACACACTTCCTAAAAATACATGTAGCATTTTTAAAAATGAAATGATATTCTAGGTCATAAAGCTGGAATCAACCGACCTCAAACGTACTGAGTCTCATCATACAGATCATACAGTCTCATCTCTGGCCACAGTATCATCAAGCTACTGGTATGTAGAACAGCAAACTGGCAGAGAAAAAAATACCTGGATGCTTTCCAAGAGTCAGCGGCGCCGTCAGATTTGGAATAAATAAATGTGAGATTTCTTTTTAGCACAGTGCTTGACCATGGAAGTAAGGGGGAGCAGAAGGAGCAAGAGAAATGGTCCTGTCCATTGCAGTGAAGTAAGATGATGCGCAGCCCAATCTGTCAACACAGTTTGATTACATGTGACCTATGTGCCAGGTACATTCCTAGACACTAGGACAGTATCAGTGAATAAAACAGTCAAAAGCCGTGCTGTCATGAAAATTACATTCACTGGAAGAGACAGACACAATATGGCACATCAGACTGATAAGTCCGACAGAAAAGGCAAACAGGCAAAGGAGATACGGAGAACCCCAAGGGTAAGACTGTAGTTTAAAATGGTGCTCCGCTAATGCTGTAATTTTGAGCAAATTTCTGGGGAAATGAGGAAGGAAAGTATGGGTCTCCTGGAATAGAAAAGCTTTTGTATCCTGAGAAATAGAAAAGACAAAGTTGTCGAGAAAAGATGTCCTAGCTGTTAGAAGAACGAGGAGTGGCTGGAACTAAGTGACAAAAGCAGAGAGTAAGAGGAAGCAAGGCGGAGGGGCGAAAGAGAACTTGGCTGCATGAAGCTCCGGGATCTCTGGGAAAGCTGAACAACGTACTTCATAAGCAATGGGAAGCCATCGCCACAGAGAGTGAGCCTGAGGCCCAGCTCTCACAGGATGCATCTGACGGCCGTGCTGAGAGCTGACCGAGGACATGGACGGTGGCAGAAACCGGGAGACTGTTTAAGAAGTTACTGCAGTGATCCAAACTAGATATGTGTCTTCTTGGAAATGGGCCGTATCACTGGACAAAGGAAGACGAATTTAGGGTTTGCAGTTTTAAGGCCAGGTTCAGCAGGATTTACTGATGTGGTTTATTCATCTATTATTTATGTCCAGTTATAAGAAAATGAAACTTCCAGTGGTCTGTTTTCAAGACAAAGTAGTTAACACTGAGTGGAAAATTGCTGACAGGTAAAACTGTCTAATAACTGACAAAGTTCATGTATCTAGAAGGTCCTTAGTAAATGGGACCTTGGGGAAGAAATAAACTAGTAAAAAATTATGTTTAAAAATGTAGTCATGAGTAGGGAAGGACGAAAGCACAGAACGCTCCATTTTCATGATAAGATAGCCACAGCCAAGTAGAAACAGTAACCAAAAGTGGCATGAAATATTGGAACAGGAAAATCTGCTTCTCAGAAAGTTGCAGAATAGAGAGCAGGGAGGGCCGGGGATTCAGCACAGTGACACAGCCTGCCTGGCAAGCTCAAGGTCCTGAGTTCGATCCCCAGGACCCCGAAACAAAAAAACAGGAAATACTAAGAAAGAAAGCCGAACTCAAATAGGGAGGTGGACCACAGAACTGCCTTATATAAAGTAAAGGAATACCTGGGCAGCACCCAAGATTGTACTCCCAGAGTACTCAGCCAGTGAGGGACTGGAGGAAGGGCCTGAGGCTGGTGGATAAAACGCCTGCTGTAACTGTTCTAGGTGTGCCTGCTCAGTGGACACGCAGCCTTGCAAGACGCCTACAAACCTCACTTTTGCTGCTCTTCCTGCCTCAGAGTCCTTTCCTTGAGTCTGGGTGAGTGAATGCATTTCTCACATTTGTGTTTGGTTATCTTACTTTAATTTATATTCACTTATTCAACAAAATATCAATGAATAACTAAATATAGTACCTGTGTTCTGGGCCATTTTGAAAGATGCAAAGTCAATATAATTTGTCTTTAGTTTATAAAGACTTTAGGAATTTCTAACAGCTAAACATCTTAAAAACTAGAGATTTCTGTGTTAAGAAAGCAGCTGTTCAAAGGAAGATAAAACTTTTTATAAAACAAAAATTTAAATCTTACCTGAATATCTGAAGAATAGGAACTGAGAGATCCTTGATTATACAAATAAACCATAAAATTCTCTCCTAAAAAATATCTAAATGTAAAAAAGAGTGAGACATTCTAAAGTTATTCTTTTCTAGACATGCAAAGTAGTATCCATAAGCTGATGCCCTCAGGCCAAATCTGATCCACTCTCTGTTTCCACAAATAACGTGTTTTTGGAAAGTAGACACACCGGTTTACTTTTGTATTGTCTGTGGCTGTATTCATGATACAAAAGCAGACAAAAGTAGTTTGGCAGAGATCATATGACCCTGAATGACTACAACATTTTTCTCACTGAACCTTTAGAGAAAAAGTGTGTCAGTCTTTGGTAAGTTTTTTCTTCTGATATATACTTACATTGTACTCAAAGTAATACATATTACTCAAAACAAATTTCCCACTTTAATGAATTAAGACAATAAGAGACTGCATGCGAGAAGATGAAAAACTGCCTTTTAAAATTTACAAAGATACAAAGTGGGGATAGGATTATGAGAGTTTTCTGTTCTTTCTGGGTTTCGCTATGTAAATATAATTTCATTTGTAAGGAAGTGGAAGTGGATTGTGTAAAATTTTACATTTAGCACAGAGGCTAAACTTTCAAGACTAAGATAAGCCTTTTCTGGTTGTCGTTTCCTGTATTTATCATGATATTTTAATCATCTTCCTAATACCATGTCCACTGCTCAGCCTAGCTTTTGTCTGGAAGCCTCCACTAAACCTGGACTCACAAAGTTTACCAATGATCTCCTAGCTCTCGCGTCCAAAAGGCATTCTGAGGTCGAGCAAAACCCCTGAAAGCACTTCACACTTTACTGCACTGCCCCTGCACAGCAGCTCTTTTCGGCTTTAACCACTGAACATTTTACGCTGAGCATCACCCAGGCAGCACCTTCGTTTAGGTACTTACTATCCTGAGTATCCAGGGTGGGTGTCATTTTAACCGGTCAATTCTTGTTTTGAACAAATTTGATAACACTGTCATTTTTATATTCCCTCTTATATTAATGTATAGAAATTCATAAAAATGCAATTTTTGGTCATCCTATATTTGAACATTTGGACCAGTAAGTGGTTGTTACGGCTGTGTCTAGAAGTCCCCCACAGCCTCATGTACTCATAGGTGGGGCTTTCTCAGAGGGGGCTGAATCTAGAGTGTGTGATTTTGATACATTGTGCGGTGCTAGGATGAAGAGTGCTAGGATTAAGGGTGGGTGATTACAAAATCGGTCCACTGATTGGTTTGGCACCACTCTAATCCCAACAGCCTGGATCAGTACAAGGGACAGAAAGAGCCTTGTCTTGTCTCTTGCTTGCTTTGCCACCTTCTGCCAACCGTAGACTGTCTCTCCTTTGCAAAGCCCCTCTGCCATGCTGCTCTGTCTTGGAGCCAGCCTATTATGGGCTGAAACCTCCGCAAACTGTGAGCTAAATAAACTTTCCCCCCTTTAACTTCAGGTGTTGGGCATTTTGTATCAGCAACAAGAGAAAAGACAGTGGTTAAATTTATGGCATCTTTTATGTCTCTTGGCATAATTATACATGCCCCTTCATCTACATTTTTGCTTTGTCCCTTACAGGTACCCATGGAATTCAATTCTACTTTGTTTTTAGTTTTCATCTTTAAATTTCACTCTGACCTCTGCAGGTATATATGTTCACTTTTGTGATTGTATTTAATATAAATGTGTGTGTGTGTGTGTGTGTGTGTGTGTGTGTGTGAGAGAGAGAGAGAGAGAGAGAGTGGGAGAGAGCCCTTTGTTTACTAGAGCTTTGTAGTATATTTTGAAGTTTAGTAGTGTGAAGTCTCCAGTAGTCTCATTTTGCTCAAGACTGCTTTTGTTATCTGTATTCTTCTGTAGTGCCACATAAATATTAAGATTTTTTATTTCTGTGAAAAATGTCATTGGAATTTTTGCTGTTGTACATAGCATTGCTTTGATTTTCTTTTAGATAGTTCCTTATCACTATACAAATAGGTACTAATTTTTCTTACTTTGTTTACTATAAATTATTGAATTTATTTATGTGTTTTAACAGTTTTTTGGTGAACTCCTTAGGGTTCTCTATATATTAAGGTTATAGAGTTTGCAAACCAGGACAATTTAACTTCTTCCTTTCCAATCTGAATTTTTAAAAATATTTTGCCTAATTGCTCTATCTAGGATAGCCAATACTATCTTGAAGAGACATTGTACATGTAGGTTTCTTATCTTGTTCCTAATCTTTGGGGATCTTGAGGGAAAGTCTAACTTTTCACCATTGATTGTGCCTTTAGCTGCAGTTTTTGTCATATATGGTCTTTATTGGATTGAGATACTTCCATACTTTATTTATTAAGAGTTTTTAATCATAAAGGATTTAAAACCCACAGCTCCCTTCTATGTTCTAAACCAAAGTAATTTTCAATTATTTCCCCTGGGATGTTCCACACCCAATTCACACACAGGGCCTCCAACAATAAGCTCATGTTTTCCCTATTCTAGGCTGTTCTATTTCCTCATTTCTGTCTTGTCCTTATTCTCTGACTATAGATGTCTTCTTGTCCTGCCAACTAAATATCAGAGAGATCAGAGTCTCTCGGGGTTGAGTCCCCATTTTTTCAGTACCCAATCTTCATTCACGAAAGACTATGTGACAAATAAGGACCAAAAATTTAAGTCACATGAGAGCATCAGCTCATCCAAAACACAAAAATTTTAGTAGCAATCATATTTAGATCTCCACATTCCATTTTTATTAAAAGAAAGCAATTTAACAGACAAAATGAAATCCAAACTAAAGAATAAACATTTACCTTGGCTTTAGGTGCACAGTATATGGTTTCTCGTCTATTGGAAGAATATAGGATATCTGGTCCTAGAGAATCAAGAACAGCTAAGAGTGAAGGCAAATTTAATATAAGAAACAAAATAACAATTGCATATCAATTAATACCTGCAAACAATGCTAAAAATGTCTGTATTAAATGTCTCAGATTACATGTAGTTTAAAATATGCAATGAAATGTCAAGAACTTTTGCATTTATTATGTAATCCATGCTTATACTTTCCACAAAAAAAATATGCTAACCTGGGGATTTACATAGGATTAGAGATCGACAGCTAATGAACTGTTAACTCTTGTGGAAGGAGAGACTTGTGCTATGCTTTATTGTCAACTCACACGTCATAGTTGGGAAAATAAAGTACTCTACATCAATAAAGCCTCCTCTGCCAAGCACAAAATTATTTAACCCTTTTTAAAAATGTGTCCTCATTGGTACTGCCTATTTCCCATCTTCTAAAACTGAAGATTCTTGAACAAATTTGATATTGTCTTTGAATCCACCACTATTACTTTCAAGTTAAAACTCTGGTAGTAATAGGGTAGGATATCTGTGGGTCAGTGAACCTGAGAGACAAGCGTTTATCCAGCAAAAAAGAACCTGTGGAAAGCAAGAGTTAGACTATCTGTGGAAAGAAAAAAATAGTTAAAGCACATAAAATTTTAAAAAGACAAATAGCAAGCTACAGATAAAGCTAAATGCTGTTGGATCTATAAAAATAAGAAACAAGGGCCGGGGATTTAGCTCAGCAGTTTGGTGGCCTGCCTTGCAAGCGCAAGGACCCAAGTTCAATCTCTGGTACCCCCCCAAAAAATTAAAAAAATAAAAATAAAAATAAGAAACAAGGGCCGGGGATTTAGCTCAGCAGTTTGGTGGCCTGCCTTGCAAGCGCAAGGACCCAAGTTCAATCTCTGGTACCCCCCCAAAAAATTAAAAAAATAAAAATAAAAATAAGAAACAACTATTCAAACTAAAGGATAAAATAGGCTCAAACATCAGCAGATAGTGAAAAATCAAACCAAGTTTATATCATCAGTGCTAAATAGATATTATATAGAGATTTTATGTCTATGATTTCCCTAAATCTCATTACCTCAGCCTAATCATAAGAAAATACCAGGCAAAGCCAAAGTGAAGAGATTTCTAAAAATATACCTGACCAAAGTCCTTCAAAACAGTTGAGATCATAAAAAAACAAGGAAAGACAAAGAAACAGAACAAAGAGATTGGGAGACATGCAAAGTGATATCCTAGATTGGATCTTGGAACAGAAAAAGAATTATCAGGGAAAAACTGGTTAAGTCCAAATAAAGGACTTTATTAAATTGTACCAATATCAATTTCTTAGTTTTAACAAACATAGTCTACCTGTATAGTTATAAAAGTTTTAACACCCAGAGGAAACGGAGTGAATTGCATTTGGAAATTTATCTGTAAATCTAAACTTCTTCCAAACATTTAAAAATTTATTTTTAAAACCAGAGAAATAAATTAAGGAAAAAGAAAACAAAATCATATGGTAGATGAAAGGTGGAAATACCAAAGAGAAAGTCCCAACACGGAAGGAGCAGAGGAACCTGGCTCTCAAAGTCACAATGCTGTGACAGCGACTTGGACAGCTTGATCTGAATGTAATGAACATGACGGTTGCAGCATCTTTGTTTCTATTTAAACTGAATTTGATGTGTAAATATTTACCACAGGTTCATGGATGAATATTTTTTCAAGGCGAAAACTTAGCAATTGTTACGTGTGCCAGTAATCGCTTCCTTGAACTGTACTTCTATCATGGGATTTAGTCTTGAAATACCTTTCTTTGCAGACCATACAGACAAATTTGATGACATTCTTAAAAGAAGCGGAAGGCCTGATTAAGCAGAGGTCAAAGGCAACGTACTAAGTAATATTAATGTGCTGTTGCCGTTGTCATCATCACACTGGTGAATGAACCCAGGGTCCTTGCCCTGAACTCCAGTCCTTTATTTAATTGAAGGCGGGGTGGGTCTCATGAAGTCATTACATTACCCACGTGCCAAGAGTGGAAGCGTAGGCTAACCGTGTAGTCTTCCTGTCTCAGCCTCCAAGAGTGCTGGGATCACAGACATGCATGACCAGGTTTGGCTGTGTCTAAATTTTTAAACACCAGGTAATCTATCTACTTTAGATGATTAAGAAAAACCATATGTACTCTTTCTTGTATAGAATCATTGATTTCAAAGAAGTGGAGAGCAGAATGGTAGTCAGGAGTAGTAAGAGAGGGAGGGACAGTGCTGACAGGGCAGTGTTAAGTAAAGAATGCAAAATTACAATCACATTTAAGCCCTAAGGTTCTGCAGCAGAGTTAGATGTCTATAGTTTAAAATAATATTTACAGTCTGCCAAGATATGTATATAAACATCAGAAAAAACTTGTATAAACATTTTAATGCTAAATTTATTGAGACGTGAGATTCATACAAGTTTCCTTTAGCCTCAACAAGTACAAGAGGTATTAAAGTGTGCGTACATTTCCTGAAGTGTGCATACGTTTTGGGGGCAGACTGTGTTTAATAAAGAACGAGGACTGCTCTGCCCTGCAGCTCAATGGCAGGAGCTGCGTTCATCCCGGGTGGCAGTCTTGCCCCTAAGGTACTGAACCTACCAAAGCCAAGTTGGCAGCCCCACATTAAGAAATAAAGGAGAAAGCAGCTCTGTTAGGAGAAGCAGCCCTGTGGATCTCTGAATTGTTTTCCAGGTTGGTATTCTTTAAGGAAGGATAACATAACACATGTTCAAAAATCACAGGGCTCTGCCCTCTGCTGTATGGAATCCCGCGATTCCAACAGGTGAGCATCCTTCTGTCCCACTTTCCGTGTCCCCTTTAGTCCCGCGTGGCAGTGCCTCTCCCATTACACCCCCCTCCATTCTTGCTTCACTTTAGATGACTAAGTTATGGACGATCTCTTGATAGAGTTACTGAGTGCCGCTCCTCTTCTCTTTTCTCAAAAATACGCTTTCTCGCCTTTTGAAACATGGATAGGCTCTGAATTTTCCAACTTTCCAAGAATTCATTCATTTTTTTGCTTAATATTTCCTTCAATTTATCTTTCTCCTGTCATATAAGCACAGCATTGTGGAAAAATATAGGCCACATCTTCAATACTTTGCTTAGAAATCTCTGCCAAATACCTAAGGCTATCCCTCACAATTTCTGTCTTCCACAAAACAACTACAATCCAATTCAGCCAATTTCTTTGCCACTTCGTAAAGAGACTTTCTTCCCATTTAAAAAATATTTCACACTTGCAGCTGTGAAGTCACTAGATACGCCTCTACCAGGACGCTGTCATGATGGAAAGTCCGTTCTCTGAAACTACAGGAGCTCTCTCTGTAAGGCTTCTCTTCTCTCTCTGAATGCTCAGCACAGTGGTGCTTAACATCTGGACTCCCTCAAGACAATCTAGAATTCTTTCCTAAGACGAATCTCAAAACATTATCAGTCTCTATCTCCACAATCTATAGTAACTACCACATTTTTAGGTATTTGTTATAACTGCCTTCCACTTTAGAGTCCAAAATCTGTACTAGATTTTTCAGGCTGCCATCTAAAATACCACTGACTAGGTGGGTTACATAATTCTCCAGAGTTCTGTAGGCTGGGTCAAAATCAAGTTGCCAGCAGAACTGGTTCCTAGTGGGCCTCTCTTCCCAGCTTACAGACAGCAGCATTCGTGCTATATTCTCACATGACTTTTTTCTTGTGTGCACGCACCAAAACCAAAACCAAGATCCATAAAAGACATAACAAAATGTCATCAAAACTGAAAATGTGTTTCAAATACTTTGAGAAAATGAAAAGGCCAACGGCTAGAGATGAAAGGAAAGATGAAGTACAAATGGACTTAAAGGAACTTTTTGGAGTGAAGAAAGTATTTTACAACTGGATCATACTAGTGTTTGCACAACTCTTATGTGCTAGTCATTGAACTGTGCATTTATGAAAGATGAGTTCTGTAGTACACAATTATACCTCCATAAAACTGTTAAAATGAATGCGTTATCAATAGATTGGCTTCTTATAAGCCAGGCTCACTCATGCACATGGTAACACCAAAGAAACATCTGCAAAAGAAATCAGCAAGTAAACTATTTATCTTCCTAAAATAGGAAAATACGAGGTTTCTTCTTGTCTGAAATCTGATAGGCACAGGAATGAAGAAAGAGAAAGTAGGTTTTAGAAGATATTCTTAGTCATTTTAGAGAGCAGTATTCTTCTCATCTGGTTCCCCTTAATATCAGGTAAGACAGCTAATTCTTCTACATTATTCCCTATAGTGAACTCTTTAAACTATTTTACCATGAAGAAATGACAAATATGAAAGAAAGCAGATCAGATCATTCTAATTTATATATTTGTTCTTACCACTGAAACTTTAAATTACTTATCAGTAATAATACTATATATTTACATGCTTATTGTAATGAGATTGATATACTTTATAGGTATGTAACAAAAATAAGAAATTTTATATAATAATTTAGGTTATAAAAAATTTCTAAAGTATCTTACTTCTGAATTATCACTTGTATTTCCTTGGAGTTTCTCTGGGAGTATGATTTGTAGAAATGAATTTTGAGAACCTATGTAATTTTTTAAAAAACAGTTAGCAATCATGCCTTAAATTTGACAAAATCTCTGTTCAATTAATTTTGCAAGATTTACTTATAGAAACATGGACACCTCACTACCATGCACTTCTATAAAACCCTTTATTGCTCAATTTCCCAGCACAGGTACTGAAGGTGAAATATTATGGGGATTACTGTGGCTCTAAGCAAAAATGACATACAAAGTAATGCATTGTTACCTATTCCAAACAAAATAAAACCTTGAAGGAATTTAATTTGAAAAACAGAAAAGATATTTACAAAACATAAAAAAAAAAAGAAAAGAAAAATTCCAGGAGTAGGTATTCAACTTCCACAAAATTTGCTATTCTTGAAGAAAACAGAACAAATAGACAAAAATTAACTGACCAAAGCCATTATTCAAGACAACCTTCCTATAATGAAAGATTGAAATAATACATTAGAAAAGATGGGGTATGTCAGAAACAACTGATAATAATTAAATAAAACAGAAAAACCCTACTGAGTTATTGAAGGAATATGAAAAATAAAAAAAAATCATGAGGAGTGATAAGCAGGCCAGTTTGAGTATTTCATGTTAAAAGTCTGAAGAACAACTATAAAATCTGTAGGAAAAGAAATTGAAAACTTAAGCTCACGTGCCCAGGAACCTGCCTCTTCCAGCCAGATCCCATTTTCCGACATACTCAGCTTCTGAGTTCACCAGTAAATAATTCCATTGATGAGCACAGAGCCCCCAATGATCCACAAGCCCCACCTGTAGCTCATGATCCTTGCTGGGACATTCTCAATCTAAAACATAATATTCCAACTTTGTCCTGCAAGACTCACGCACATCTCATTATGCAAATGAATTTAGTCCATCTCTAAGAGTCCCTAAACTATTAACAGTTTCAATAGGGCTGGAAAGTTCAGATCCAAAGTTTCCCTGAGATTTAAGGCAGACTCTTAGCTGTGAGCCCCTGTAAAAATGAAAAGGAAGTTAAACATTTCCAACATTCAATAGGAAAGGGTAAACATCCCCATTACCAAAAGCAGCAGTAGAATAGAATGGACAGGGACCAAATCAATACTGAAACCAAGAAGGGCAAACATCAAATCCTGTAGCTGTATATCCAGCACTGTTGATGTCACTCTCACGGTTTCATGCACTGCCCTGTCAGGGGCATACTGCCTGGCCTTCCAGATGCTCTTCTGAAACCTCGGTGAAAGCCTCTTTGACTCCACAACTCTTCAATTGTGGATACCTCTAAAACCAGCACGTGGATGACGCCATGGTCTGTTGCCGGCTCAAGCAGTAATCAGGCCCTATTGGTCACATGGCTGCAGAGGCATCTGAATGTGATTTGACTGTGAGCCAAATCCCAGAGCCAACTGTCTAGCAGGCCTTTCTTAAGCAGGGTACCCTGGGGGCTCTTTTCTCAAAGCAAAGTCTGACTTTTGTACCCATTAGCCTGAACATGGTGGGGTTTTGCTTATTGCTGAGATGCCCTCAAGGGGTCTTTCCCATTGTTCTAATTCAAAGTGTATGGCTTATTTTTAATGTTAATCTTTTCAGCACCCTCTCTCTCCAAGGCACAAACTTTGTAAGCAATTTCCTTATGACCAACATGAAATTTTTTCAAATGGGCTTTTTGATTCTGTTTACCCTCAGCTCCCAGGTAGCCCTGCCCAGGAATGGGGGACATAGACTTCCTGTTGATGGACTTGCTGATGAGCTTTGGTTTGCAGGTGCCGCTTGAGTGAGGTGATGGTTCCCCGTCATCCTTCAGTGCCTCACTGCTGGCACTACCAGGTACTACTCCCACGGGCTGAGATATGACAACTCCATGGTCCTCTACTTTGTCATCAAAGCTTCCCATGAAAGCCCTCTGGATAATGTCTTCTAGGCCAAGATTACTGGCAGGATCAGCAAAGGAATGGCTTCTAAAGCTAACTGCACCTGATGTAGTAGCTGCTGGCAGATTGAAGATCTCAGTTCCTGGCTGAGCAGCTGCCATATCAGAGTCACCTCTGCCAGAGGAGTTCAACTTATGAAAAAATCTCCTGCCTCTTTGGTTTAACTGTGGGTGACGTATTTTCAAGCTTGATGAAGAATGAAGGCAAATCCATCAGAGAAAATGGATATAGAAAATGTGGTATTTACACACAATGGATTATATACTACTAGAGAAAGATAAACTTGAGCCATTTGTAGGAAAATGGATGCACTTTGAGACTATAATATTAAATGAAATAAATCACACACACATGAGCCTAAATATCACATGGTTTCCTTTTTACGAGAAACATAAAACATAAATAAAGAACTAGAAAATAGAAGTAGGGAGATAGATCTTTTGCAAATGGGAAGGGAACCAAGAGATGGAGGGAGGGAGAGAGGAGGAAAAGGGAAGGCAAGGGATGAAAAGGAATACATGTGTGTAATGTGCCAAGACCCCGTGAGAAAGGTGATCACATTTTCCTACGGGTACGCACTAATACAAAATAAACACGGAGAACATTAAAGGCAATAAAGATAATAAACTCAAACTCTATACGTGGACTGACACAGGCAAGAGGAATTTACAACTTTGGATAGCCTGACCATTCGCTGGAGAAGTAGGCACCCTTACTCCCATTTGGAGGAATCTGCTTTCCACTGCATAAAAGTTTTCACTGATTTCGTCTCAATCAACAGATTTATAAAGGGAAACCCATCCCTCAAGCCCTTCCTATTTCCAGGCTCTGGGTAAAAGTTAAATTTTATAAGAAAATTCATGCGTGCAAGTATCACAAGATTTAGCAGGATTTCTTGACAGAATACATGGGAGAGAATCTCAAGGATTGTGTATCTCAGACCAGCAGATAGGAACGAATTTACCAATACGGGGTCACCCACTGGCATTTCGGATTTAAGGTACGAGCGTCCTCACCGAAGAAGGGGTCCTACCATTTGCTCCGTTAGCGAAGGGTGGATTCCACGCGGATCTTCAATTGATAAAGATGGAATGCAGAAATCCTCCAACAAACTACAGGAATAAGGAATCTGAAGCCATTATGACATAGAAATGTAAGGGTACACAGTGTGTTTGTACACAAATACAACTGTACACGGTTAGCGATGACCAGAAACCTCAGAAGGCTCCGAAGGTATTTTTGTTGGGACACAATTAAGAAACACATCTGTGAGCCCTTCCGCCGCCGGCACTGCACCACCAGAACCATCCCACTGCCCCACAAACACCAGCGCTGCACCACTGGATCCGCAGAAGTGCAGGGACGTAGGGGGTGGCTAAGCTCCAGAACGTGGAGGAGAAGAGAAGAACTGAGAGGAGGCCTCTGTGAGTCTCCTCGATGAAAATTAAAGCCACTGGGAAAGTGAAAAACAAATCTCCGCAATAAAGGCACACCACACCGCCATAGTTGGAAAGTCGGAGGGACCAGCACTCCACTGTCACAAAAAGATGGATTAGACAAAAAATCAACACTGAAGTCCTGGAACAGAAACAAGCTTTTGAACAACTGGACTTAATAAATGTCTAAAAAGGGTTCCACCCCACAAGATGAGAATATACATTCTTTTCAGCTGCACAGGGTCATTCTTCAAAATACACCACATGCAAGCTCATAGGAATATTTCAGTAAATGCAAACAAACTGAAGTTATCTATGTATAATACCAGACCATAGTGCAATTAAATTGGCGATCATTAGTGTAAGAAACCACAAGAACCCCAGAAACACATGAAAATTGAATAACACTCTCCTGAACAAACAATGGGTCACAGAGGAAATTAAAGAAGAAATTAGAGAGTTTCTACAATTAAATGATAATGCCAAAACAACATTCAGGAATCTGTGGGACACAATGAAAGCAGTTCTATGAGGGAATTTCAGGACAGTGAATGCCCATGCTAGGAAAACAGAGTGAGCGCAAATAAACAACTGAACCTCAATCTCTTAAAAAAAGAAGAGCAAGACAAACTCAAAGCTCATAAATGGGAGGAAATTACAAGGATCAGAGCAGAAATTAATGCAATGGAGACTAAGAGAATGATACAAAAAAAAATCAATGAATCAAAGAGTTGGTTTTTTGAAAGAATAAGTAAAATTGATAAACCCTTAGCCAACCATATAAAAAAAAAAAGAAAGGCTCAAATCTATGCAATTAGGAATGAAGTCATAAGAGATGTAGGAATGAAAATGGTGAACTCACAACAAATCCAGCAGAAACCCAGAGGATCATCAATAACTATTTCAAAAATCTGTACTCTAATAAAATGCGACATTATAAATGGTGAACTAAATCAGAAAATGCAGAAACCATAGGAAAATGTTGGTAAACTTCGTATGAAAAACAATATACCACAAATAAAATTATCAGATAAACAAATTTCAAAACAACCTCTGTAAGCCATAAAGCATGATATTTAGTATCCATAAACACACAAACATGGATGAAATGCACCTAACATGCACTCATCACTCATAGAGTTCATTACTGGAAAAAGAACAGGTATTCCTCATATATTCTTGTATTTGTACATGTTTATAACTAAATGTATAGGAAAAAGTCCAGAAAAACATTGCTAAATCGATAAACATAGGATTTATCTTGAAAAGTGCACTAAAATGAACGAGGGCAGATACCTGAATATGTCATTTCATAATTTAGCAGGTATCATAGTTTTTACTATAAATTTAAACAGAGCTTCAAAATCACTTTCTTTCATTGTTTGTTTTGTTTATGAGACAGGGTCTCACTGTGTAGTTGAGACTGACCTGGAACTCACTATGTTGCCCAGGCTGGTCTCGAACTCACAGCGATCCTCCTGCCTCAGCCTCTCAAGTGCTGGGATTACTGGCGTGCGCCACCACGCCCAGCTCAAATCACTTTCAATATAACATCCTCTCATTACTACTCCTGATAACATTCCACGTTTGCTACATCCTGCCTTTCATTTTCCTCTGTTTGATCTGAAAACTACAGGGAAGCAAGGGCAATATTTCTTTGATCTGAGACCAACTTGCTCTATGCATAAAGTGCATAATCAGGACGGTTATGAATACACATGAACATATATAAGGTAAGTAATTATTTGTTAAAGCTGTCAGGCTGTAAATTATATACGTAACTAGAAATAGAAGGCATTCAGACTGCCCTTTTTGGAAGTTATTATTCAGAAGAGAAACCAAAACTGATTTTCAAATGAAAATCCCGGCCCCGAAATGCTAAGCGAGTATCATACAACTGCGGGGCAGCTGCCACTCTGGGAATGGGTGTCACCTTCGGCAATTTCTGCCTCTCTTACACCACTGCCTCCAGCCTGTGGCAGCCGCTAAATTTCCTCTCTATGCATTTACCTATGTTTAGTATTTCATGAAAGTGCGTCCTATAAAATGAAGACGTTTTGCGCTCAGCGTTTCATTTACATAATGCTTTCGGAGTTCACAACTTAATTATTTTTTATGGCTCAGTAATACTTTATCGCATCTATACACTTTTTTTTTAATCCACCGCCACTGATGAACATTTGGATTTTTTCCAACTGAGGACGACTGCAAGCAACGCTGCTGTGAATATTGGCGCCGAGATCTGCGCAGAGGCGCTTCCCGCTCCGCACCGCACACCCGCAATGGTCAAGGACCCAGGCCGACCGGTCTCTTCCGGTCTCTTCCGGTCTCTTCCGGTCTCTTCCGCCCGACCGCGAAGGCAACGCGGCTCGGCCTCCCGGGCGCCCCCAC